AAAAAAAAAAAAACGATGATAATCACATAATCTTTATTAGCGAGAATGAAATTGTTCAAATTTAACAATTTACTTTTTCTATTTCATTGTTTCATTCCTTATTGTTATGAATTGATTCAAAGCTTTAATAAGCTTTTATTACTGATGAAGGAATTTTTCAATTATTGTGCTTTTTATTTTTTGAAAAAGATTTTAAAAAGTGTAAGGAAGCAAGGAAACAGAGAGAAATGAAAAGTAAATAATGAAAAAGTGAAATAGAGGATGGTGCTAAAAGTGCGACAAAATAAAATATCATTATGTATTTATTGGATCAAAATAAAGTATTTATTTTTTTTCAGACAGAGAAATCTGTAAATATGCAGTTATTTGTTTAAAAATAATGAAACATTTATCAAGTTGAACAATTTTAATTTGTATATAATAGCTGTTTCCTCTTTTTTTTTTTTTTTTACAAATGGAATCAATAGATTAACAAATTTAGTGATATGAAAAATTAAATTTCTTTACCAATAAAAATTCGTTGCTTTCATTTTTACTTCAAATAAATAATTGAAAATGAAGAAGTTAAATCATTCTCAAATTTATCAACAATAACATTAATTATGCTTATTTTATTTCACTCTAATTAAATTTAAAAAAGCAAAAGTTTTAATTCATAACCGCAAGAAGTTTTATTTTGTTCGTTTTTCTGTAAAATAAAAAATATTTTATTTTTGCTTTTCTTTTTCTTAAAAGCAACAATTAATTTTCTGTATGAAATTTTGAGCTTTTAATTTGCTCATCAAACTACCACATTCATTCATTTACTGATTGATAATGATCCGAACGAATAACACAGTCCAGACGAAAGCAATTTATAATTGGCACACACCAAAGATTACGAACTCATTGACAAAAAAAAAAAGAAGACGGCAAATAAAACCAGTTCATTTTATTGTAATACACAATATTCATGCTTTAACAAATAAAATACATCAAACAATTCAAACATTTCACAATTCACTTTTATGTTTTATAGGAAAAAAAAGGAGGAAGAATAAGTCGATCATTTTTAGAAATTCATTATTAGATTTTAAAATTAAAATTTGAATCAAATTTTTAAATCGTTTCTTTTCAGGTATGAAAAAAATTGAAATTTATCGATAAAGAAATACAATTTTGCATTTTGATTTACAAAGTCTTTTTTTTTTTTTTTTAAAGTTTAGTTTAATGAAAACGAGCAAAGAGCATGATTGATATTTTGTGCAATTTTTCATTTAGGAAAATTTTTATCACTATGAATTCAATTTCGGCCTATTTCGGCCTAATTACAGTACGATAATGCAATTTAAAAAAAAAAAGTATAAAATGATAATAATGCACCAAAATATGAAATGAAAATTATGCACAGTAAATAGTAGCATAATCCCGTAACTCATATAATTAATGTATGTGATCGAGAAATTTTTTGTATGATATATCTGAAAAGAAAAAAAAAATGAATGAGACAGTGGAAAGAATAAAATGTCAAATATTCACAAATTAATATGCGAAAATTTCGTTACAAAAAAAATGAATATATTATGAAACAAAAAAAAGGAAAAAAAAAGAGAAGAACCTGTATAGAAGTTTCATTTAAAATGCTTCAATGTAAAATGGTTCATTTCTGTAAGTATTCAGGATTTTGAATTTTTTCTATCAATACATGAAAATACATTTCCAGAAAGATCAATCAATAATTAATTCAAGATTAAAATTTCTGTAAAAGTCAAAAAAAAAAAAACAAATAGAAAAGAGGAAAAAAGAAAAAATGAACGAAAAAAAAATTTATAAAATAATGAAATATAAATGAACCTAAAAAGCATATAATTAATTGTTTGTGGGTGAATGAGAATGTATTAATGATGCAGAAAGGGTTACTGCTGTATTACGCTGTCGTTTAGTTTGTAATCGTTTACGCCTTTCCGTTTCCGCATCACATAATACCTGTTTACAATCAATACTTTCCGTTTCCGCTACCATTTCATTATTATCATCACGATTTATATCATTTGCAAGTTCCTAGAAGAAATATGTTATGTGTTTTTTTACACTTTAAACATTAATCACAAATTTTAATTACCAAAATAAAATTATTGTAATAAGAGATGAAAGAATTAATTTTTACACTGTAATTGATTTTAAATTCAAATCTAAAATTATAAAGCAAACACTTTGTATTGATGAAGTTGTTGTTTGATCGTTTTGATTTCATTCTGTTGATCTTGAATCACTTGCATCATTGCTTTCAGATGATTCATTAAAGGTGCTGCGATAGCGGTTAGCTTATAACAAGCAACTGTTGGCACATCATTTTCAACATTATCCAATTTAAGTACCACAGCACCACTATTCGAGTCATCCGCATCTTTCCGTGCACTCAAACCTTCAATCTTTTTTCGCTTGTAATGAATAAATAATTAAATCATTTCATTTGCTGAATTGCGAAACGAAATTTTCCGATATCAAACGAAGGACTTTCGATTGGATAAACTCATAAATAATAAGGTCGAAAATCAGGAAATGGACTTGTATGATTTTTGATTTTAAAAATCTTTAACAATTAATGAAAATTAAAAAATGTAAATGAAGAATTAATTTTTTTTTCATCGTAAATTATAAAAAAATAAATAAAACCTTGATTTATTGCATCAAGTAAACGATTCCCGTGTACAATTGCACTCATTGCTAATTCTTGACCATCTCTTTGTTTTAATTCCATAACAGTCATACCCGTTAGCTGTTCCGTTAACTTTTCCAATTCAGCAAGATTACTCTTCTAACAAAACAACAACAAAATGTAATGATAAAAATATTTGCATTTTCAAGAATAATATCATTTTTTATGGTCATCAAAAAAATTAAAAAAATACTAATATCAAATTTTATAAAATTTAACAAATTTTATTTTTGTAATGAAAAAAAAAACACAACAGATAAATAAATGCTTACATCAATAATAATTTCAAATGTTTATTTGAAAAAAAAAAAAAAAAAATTAAATAAATAGACAAACATTTGCTCCAGGAAGAAATTCGGCTAATATTGTTTGCTTATCAAGCAATGCTTTCATAATTAATTCATCGTTACGTCGTAATCGTTCTGTTGGCGTTAAAATTGGCTGTGCATGTTCTAAAATTGTTGGCTGTTGTATTGTTATTTCGTTAGCACTAACAAGTCGTGGATGTGTTGAAATTTGTACACGTTCACAGAAATCCATATCTTCCGTTTGATACTGTACATTATTTGTTGT